TTTTTTTTTGTTCACATTTACCCTTTCAACTTGTTAAACTGTACACATTCAGTCCTTATGACAGGTTATTTTAGGTTAACCAGTAAAAATGTCTTAATATGGTAATATATTTCTCATTTTTGTACACATTTAGTCCTTAATATTTTTGTACACATTTAGTCCTTAATTTTTTTTGTTGCAAATAATTTATTTTTGTTTTTGTACTCATTCAATAGTTATGAATATTTTCTTTAAGTTTTTCTCATAACATTTTACATGGAACAATCATTAACGAGGAGTTTTCGGCTTTTAATGTTTATATTTATCGCGATCTTAACTACTTGGTTGCTTAGGTCATGTGTTTTGAACGTCATACATTTTTCATACTATCTCAGATTTTAACGATCTTTATATTTATATGTTTGTATTTTAGTCTACTACAATTTTCGTTTATATTACTCCCGTTAAAAAGTAATATATTTTTTAATTACGATCTTTATATCCATACGTTTTTTATGAATATATGTATGGATGTTTTTTTTATAAAATTGTAAGTAAAAATATATTATATTTTAACAAGAGTAATCTTAACGAAAGTTATAGCAGACTTAAAAACGAACACGTAGATATAAAGATCGTTAAAATCAGACATCGTATGAAGAAGTTACGGCGTTCGGAATACAAAACCTAAGCCAAACTATAAGACCTGTGCAACCAAGCAGTCGAGGCCGCGATGAACATAAGCATCAACAGCCCCAAACACCTCATCAATCAGGGACGGACGTAGGATTTGGTAGTAGGTGTTGGCGGTTCGTAGTAGATGTTGCCAGTAAGTAGAAAAAAAATCGAAAAATATTCACTGCGTACAGAAAAAGCAGGGATTGTCGGTGCCACTACGGGGACCCAAAGAGAACCGTCCATGTTATTAATGATAGTCTCATGTTAGATGTCGTGAGAAAAACCCTAAATAAATCATTCATAAGTACTGAATTTGTACAAAAACAAAAAATGACTTATTTTGAAACAAAAAAATATTAAGGACTAAATGTGTACAAAATGAGAAATATATTACCCTAATAAATCATTTTTCCGGCTAACCTAGAGTAACCGGTCATAAGGACTAGATGTGTACAGTTTAACAAGTTGAAGGGGTAAATATGGATGAAAAAAACTCAGTGACCAAATGTGTACAAATCGAAAAATATATTACCCTTTTAAGTTATTATCCCTTCTATATCCCTGATTTCTTTCTAGGATTTATGGTTTTTCTTAGTGTTGAATTGTCCATATCATTCAAAGAAGTTTTTAAAGCAACATAAAATTTGGAGTGCTAAATCAAGCAATCATGTCATTTTTGTCTGACACGATACGATACGACAATGTTTTATATAAAACAAATACAATTCGATATTATATTTTTTTTTATCTGACATGAAAACGAACCGATTAAAAAACGACAAAAAAGACAAAGATAACATAAAATAACAATTAGTTTATTTGATTAATACTTAACCATACATAACACGATAAACATGAAAAACAAATGTTAAATAGTGACGAATTTATGTCGAAATTTGAACATGAATATGACAAGACACGACATCATGTTTCTTAACTTTACACGAACACGATACGAACATAAATTCGAATTCCAGTTTCTTCTCAATTTTGTTTCATATCGTGCATTTTTGTCGTGTCTAGGAATAGCAACGTGGCAGGACATGGTTTCCCAAACCCGCCCCGATATCTTTCGGGTATCTTATCGGGCGCCCCATCGGGTTTCAAGTTTTCCCTTTGGATTTCGGGTATCTTATCGGGTTTACAACAACTCATAACGAAATCTTAATTCCATTTTAAGGTACCCCGATGTCTTACAAAAAATACATGTTTTAGCCTCCCTTTTTAAATTAAAAATATGATGCATCACTTTAATAAAATAAACTGGACATTATATTAAAAATTATTTGATTTAAGTTTAGTGCAATATGTCAAAACTTAAAAAATGATCATTCACATCAAATTCTTAATAACTAAAAAAATTGTCCAAAGTAAATATTTTATCTTTGAATGCATACAATTAACATCAAAAGTATTAGAAGATTATATATATATATATATATATATATATATATATATATATAGGGATATATATATATATATATATATATATATATATATATATATATATATATATAGGGAATAGGAGAGAAAAGGGTGGTGTTATGCACTACAAAACATTATAATGGAAGTCGTAACATACAAAAAAAAAACATTGTAACATCCTAAAAATCAACGGTAAAATTTTAAGAGTATCCCGAAATCCAATATCATAAAATCCGAAGGATGTGCAGAATCAAACATTCGCCTTGTCCCGATCATTTGAATTACCTAAAACCGTAACCAAAAATTGTAAGCCAAAGTACCACTACATAAACATATAACCAAATAAATATTGGGTCCACAACCTTCCTGGTTGGATTACCCCTGACCCATAACCTTTTAGTTGGAATGCCCTGGCCCACAGCCTTCCGGTTGGCTTGTCCAATATATACCGGGTCCACAACCTCCTGGTTGGATTACCTTTAGCCCACAACCTTTTGTTTGGAATACCCCGACCCATAACCTACTGGTTGGCTTGCCTGGGTTTGTTGAATGACAACACAAAGCAGGACAACCTCAAGCCCACCATACCATGTCGACATATACATAACAAATGACATATATCCAACAACAGATAAACATATGGCCAGTCAACAGACAAACAAGCAGATCTAGACATCACTACCACAAAGCAACATCCTATATACTAGGACAAAGATCTAATATATCACTACAACATAGCAACATCATCTATACTAGGATACATAATCTAGTGGGTCGGCATTGGTGCCTTTGACCCACAAGTACAATGAGGAAAACTTACCTCTCAGTCTGAACATATAGTTGAATAGGTCACTACTTTGAATATAGGCTCTACCAGTCACTTATACATCAGATAATGACAAATTTCAACTACAATCCAAAATACCAAAAATACGCTTAGGTCAAATCTTGGTCAAATTCAAAAATTCAACCAAGTCAACTCAGGTGAGTACGCCTATCTTACTCAGCTTGTACCCTTAGTGTACACGGGTCTTGACCAAAAACGCGTTGGTTGAACACGTACGCGCAGTGTACCACGGGTACGCACAACGTACCATAGGTACGCCCCACATACGCTGCTACCACATATTCCTTCTATTAATAGCTTAGTCCTTAAGCTTTTCTATCCAAAATCCAGATCTAGTCATCCAATGTAGTCCTTAACCTTAAAGTTTCCAACTTTATGGTCTTGCATGGCTAATAAGTACTCAATACCAAAACCCCTGACTTCTTAACTCATTAAGACATCCTAGATCATGCATGGAAGGAAACTAATGACCAATATTACATTTTTGTTCTTCTAAACACTCCAAAAACATCTAAAAGGACAACTCATATGAATTAGAGTAACCCATACTCATAATACCAAGCTTATGGGTCCGAAATGAACACAAATCCATGGCTAATCAAGATCTAAGAAATACCTCATCAAATTTAGAGCTTTTTACCTTCAAATGGTGTCAAACGATGACGTGGTTATGGATCTAAAGTGCTCCACTATTCTAAGATGGTTTCCTCTTCCTTCTTCCTCCCTCAGGAACACCAAATGCACACTCAAGGTCAAGATTGCTTCACTCAAGAGATTAGGGTTTGAAAGGGGTAGAAATAGGGTTGGAGGCTGATGAAAAAAAGGAGTCTTGAGAGTTAAGGATGAACAAATAGTGCACAAACCCTAAATATTAGGGTTTGGTCCAGACCACGTGTGCCCAACATACTCAAGTTGTGTGTGTTTTCCACTTTAAGTCTCGTTTTTGACCAATTTGCAAACATTTCTCATACCAAAGTTCAAAAGGTAAAATACTTGGAAATCGAGGTGTTATAATTCTACCCCACTTGAATCAGACTTTATCCTCGAAGTCTGTCGCCGTGATTAACTCGGGGTAGTGCTCTCGCATCTACGACTCAGGTTCCCAAGTCCATTCGGTACCTCTCCGATGCCATCATTGAACTATGACAAAATCACCACCTTGTAGTGCAAGGCCTTCATCTTCCGATCCAATATCGTCACTAGTCTTTCAACATAATTCAGGCGATCATTAGCCTGAATACCATCCAAAGGAACAAACGTTGAATCGTCAACCACACACTTCCGAAGTTGAGACACGTGGAAGGTGTTGTGAACTTGACTGAGCTCTTCAGATGAATCCTGCTTGTAAGCTACCTTGCTAATCCTGGCAATCACTTGAAATAGATCAATATACCAGGGCCCAAACATGCCCCTCTTCCTGAAGCGTATTACACCCTTCCAGGGTGATACCTTCAGCAAAACCATGTCACCGACTTGGAACTCCAACTCAGATCGGCGCTTGTCGACATAACTCTTCTACCGACACTAAGCAGTCTGCAACTCCTGTCTGGTATACTGAATTAGCTCTGTCGTCTGAAGGACTACCTCAGTCCTTCTCATGACTCTGTCACAGACCTATCCCTAAAAAACTGAGGTACGACACTTCCTCCTATAAAGAATCTCAAATGGCGGTGCACCGATACCAGAGTGATAGATTTTGTTGTGAATCACAACAACATCAATATATTCCACAAATCCCTTTAACCACTTCAAGTCAAAGCATCTTATACATAAAACTCGAGAGACTACACGGAGACCCACAACTTCCAACCATCCGGGAACTTAGAATTACTCAATTGCCATACATATATCTTATTATATTATTATACAAATCTTACTATTTATAAAAATAGATATAAGATGTGAAATTTTTAAGCTTAAAGTACAACAAATTATTAATATAATAATATTATAATTTAAATTGTCCAAATAATAATGCACTAAGTACAAGTATCTACCATCTATTGAAGTGTTCCTTATCTTTCCCAATACAGCCATTGGCCCGAAATCAGTCTATGTTGTATCCGAGATCATGGCAAATATATGTGGATTCTGGCGAGCCTCCCATATATCTCGCAACTTCCTCTTGAACTTCTCCCTTACCTTCCTCCAACTCCAAACTATATCACTGGCTTCCTCTATCTCTCTATCTCGTACTGAGATAAACCTTGAATGCCGCCATCAACCACCTACCCCCTCAACTAAAACCATACCCACACACCACCATTATCCATCTCCTTCACTGGTCGTATCATTTCGCCATCTAACGACACCAACCCATGTATTCTTTTTCGTGAATCTGTGTGTTCGTGTTTAACTAGATCATTTCCTCCTTTCTCTTTCTAGGGTTAATCTTAGTTGTTGAAACAACCATTAATGGGACTGATAATTACACCATAAACGTTGTTGCCACCAAGAGCCGCTACCAACAACCAACTAACGTTGCTCTCCTCTCTTCCTCCCTTTCTCAGAAAATCCCTAAATCACCTCCACGGGTACACCCACCACCATTCTCCTTCTCTATTCCGATCAAATCATCTTTCCCATTTTGTCTCTGATTCAACGCCTGGCCATCTCTCTTCGCTTGTAATCTTCTTTCCAAAATAAAAATTTATGGTTTTTGTTACTTAACATTTTCGGATCTAAATGGATTTGACCTAGATTCTCTTTGATTCCAGGTAAAGTTTTTGACCTAGCTATTTCATTTGTTAACTCCAAATCCCATTTCACTATACGTATGTGACTGTTTATATATTTCCTTATAAATTTGTGAAATACATATTTACTTGAAACTGGTGTAACTGGTAGTTTTGATGGTTTTCAATATGGCAATAACAAAGCTTTGCGACATGTCTACTTGTGCTTTCATTCTAAGAATAATATTAACTATATGTCCCTTTTTTTAAATATATGCATACAGGTTGGGGTAAATGTTGCTCTTCTTAAGCAGTCAAAAAATCGACTGATTGGACAAATTTGGAGAATGCAAGATTGGAATTATGTCAGATAACATTCATAAACCAGGGCACATTGGTATTGCATCTCGGTCTGGCACACTGACTTATGAAGCGGTTTGATATGCTTGGTTTAATTTTTAATTGCTTATTTTGAATTAGGAAAACATTTTGATTCTATGCAACTTTTTTGAATGGTTTGTTTGTTCAGTTTGTTACAGGTGTATTAAACAAACTACTGATGTTGGGCTAGGGCAATCCACATGCGTAGGCATTAGTAATAGTGGGGATCCTTTTAATGGGACCAACTTTGTTGACTGCATGAGAAAATTCATTTGTGATCCTCATCGTTTCTATTTATCAAGTATTATCTTATATTTTCATCTATTCTTGCATTGGATTTGTGGTTTTGGGAACTCTAATAATCGATTATAGCAACTTTATTATATGAGTTGCCTCTTGGTCTTTTTAGATGGGATTCTTAAACTCTTTGTTTTATGATGTCTTGCAGGTGATAGAAAAATGGGTTTCAAAATTGAGCAATTCAACTATCTAAATTGCCAACAGAGTAAGTTTTACTGATACATCCAAATAGGATAAAAAAATCCGTCAAACTTGAATTTGAAATCTATTTGTTAAGATGTTGTTTGACTACATGTACTCATGTTCTGCAAACTTGAATTTTGTTGATATATATATATATATATATATATATATATATATATATATATATATATATATATATATATATATATATATATATATATATATATATATATATATATGCTTAGCTAACATGATAGAATGCCATGAACATGTATATTGAAACCTACAAGAGGAACTCAAGTCCTATGATCATGTTCTTTATGAAGAACGTAAAGAAAAAGAAAAAACCATTGTGCGTTTCTGGTTGCTGAAAATGTATTTAATACCCTTCAACCCTTTTAACATTTTCTTAATTTGTAAATTTTAAGGGATAGAAATGTCATGGGTTGGGTACTTATATGACCAGAATACCCTTAGGTAGAAATGTGATTTATGTTGTTTTTTTCTTTAGGTAGGGAGCCATGACAGGTTGTGGATGGAAGTGGTTTACATCAGTTGTGGTCACCTACGAAAATGCAATCCGTTTTCCGAATAAAAAAAAAAAAATCACGATTTTCGGTTCAACCCCATCGCCAAAGTATAGCCTCTTCTCCAGGTTTTGTTGAGATTTTTTTGTTCTTTTGTGAATATATATAAAACATTATTTCTATCTTCCTGAATTATTTCTTAATCATGGTTTAGATCTTATTTTCTCCTAAAATCTCCCTTCAGCCCCTTCCAAATAAAGACAAGCCTTTCATACCCTTTATTTATCCCCGATGTCTAACATCAATCGTGCTTCCCGTCTAACCCCATCCACCTAGGCACCCGATTGGTAACCTTGGTTAATGCAAGGTTGAAATGATCATTTTTTTTTTTTTTTATCTTTGAAGTTGTTCTTATTCATTTTTGTTCTAAATACGATATGGGTCTTTGTGCCTCAAATTAGTTGTGATTAAAACCAATTTTCAACTTTCTTTACAGGACTTGAATTTGAACAATAGATTGTACGAGTTTGTGTTTTTGTTAAGACCATATTAAAAATCTTGGCTCATTGAGTTGATTGTTTTCAATGACTCATAGTCTGTGTGAGTTTTTTTTTTTTTTTTTTTTTTTTTTTTTTTTTTTATAACTGCAGATCATTTTCAGCAGCTCAAGATTTAGCTCCTGAAACATTAGTTTCAATAATAACACATCAACTGCCAGTTACAGTAGAAACAACAACAAGAGCAATAGATGATACAACAATAGGAACAACGGTTAAAAGGTATACCTGTTTTTTTAATCATAACAGGGTCTTTAATCATGGAGAGCGTATGTGGCTATGTATGTGTATTCGAGACTCATGAAAGTGAAATTGCTATTTACAGGAAAAGAAGATAGTTACCCCTTATGATTTATTCTATCTAATCCTCAGGTTGTAAGTTAATATGTGACTATGTATAGGTTCTCCTACTTGAGACTTTTATCACTAAATTTTTTTTATTGTTTTAGCCAAGTTAACATGGGAGGATGGATTAAAATTTGGCTCTACCATGAAGGGATATGCTATTTTGAATTGATATTTAAAAAAAATAGACATGTGCATATGTATTTTATAAAGATATTATTATGAGTTGAAATTTACTGACATGCAGGTGAGTACAAGGAGGGAAGGAGGTTTGAGTCGGTTTGCTTCTATTTTGATCACCATTGAGTTTATTTCCATATATGGTCCATCCTTGAATAATATTCTTGGTTTTATTGGATATATGTCTTAACTATGGCGTTTTTCAATAAATTAGTTTGATATTCTAAGATGAAACTTTTAATAATAGTTAATTAAATCTTTGACACTTGAACAAGTTACGATTGCATGTGAATTATTCTAGGATTGTATTTTTTGAAAACAAAAGTCAACTCAACAATGAATAGATAAAGAATTAAAATTGCATTGGTTATCTGATTAAGGTTCTGACTATAGATTAAAGCTAAATTAGACTACATAAACACATTTTAAGTACTTTATGTCAATTTAGGATACATTAAAAAGTACAATTAAAAGTTTAAAATTATTTAAATTCTCCATTGAAGGAAATAAAGCTCATTTCGAAACTTTCTTGATCTATGGTATTTGATGAAATAAAGTTATATGAATCAATTTCTACATATTTGTTAGACTTTAAAAAATAATAATACTTAAATGTTTGTAATAATTACACGATAATCAAAAGTTAATTTTAACATTTCAAATATTACACCAAAAATTTTAAAAAACTTCATATATTTATTTAATTAGGTTATATATAATTTTTTAATAAATTATTTATATTATAACAAAAAATAACCATAAAAACTGTTACATTTATTAATTTTGTTAGGATAGGTAATATCTAATTTTTCTTTTAAATAAATTATAATACAACTAAGGGTTTCCGCCTAGACGTCAATTAGTTGTTTGACCTCAATAGAGTGCCTAGATTGATTAAAGGTCTCCGTCTAGGCGTTGATTTGTCAGTGACAAAAAAAAACATAAATCGTAATTATACTGAAAAAACAAAGATTTAATCGGCTATTTAATGAATAATCTATATTAATATAGAGAAATCAATGTAAATTTATTTTTAATCAATAATGACAAATAAGCACCGAAATGAAATGATTAGTTAAAAGTAACTTGTGTTTCTTGAAATATAATATGTTTCCGAATGAAAATAATTGATGCAATAAACTATTTACCGCCACCGCTTTGCGCGGATAACAACTAGTATATATATATATATATATATATATATATATATATATATATATATATATATATATATATATATATATATATATATATATATATATATATATATATATAACTAAAGACCCAACTTCTAGTGAGAACCAAACAATCGGGAATTCTCGAACTACGCTTATAACTAACTTCATCAATATACTTCCCGGAAATAGGAACCCATCAGTCCTAAACTTCAGAAACCGTACTCTAAGACTAGTGATCATCCATTTGTTGTACCTACCCCTAGTCCTTGACTAGGAACACCACCAAAATACTCAACATATAAGTTTGCTGATGAGACCTGAACGAAAGTTAAGTTGTTGAATACTAGACTAACCAAATCACTCATTTGTCTCAGTAGCCCGCTCATCCGCTATCAACACTCGAACCTACTCTTGATCCGCCTAACCAATAACTATACTCATGCTTACCCACGCTCTGACAACCGATAACTGCACTTGGGCTTAACCCCGATGTGATAACCAAAAACTGCACTTGGGCTTGTCCCCGATCTGATAGCCAATAACTACACTCGGGATTACCCCCCCCCCCCCCCCCCGCGCGCGCGCGCGCGCGGATAAGATAACCAATAATTGCACTCGGGCTTACCACCCAATCTGATAACCAGTAACTACAATCGGGCTTACCCCCGATCTGATAACCAATAACTGCACTCGATCTTACCTATGATTTGATAACCAATATTTGCACTCGGGCTTACCTCTGATCTGATAACCAATAACTCGAGCCAGGTACTCTCATGCTATCATACTCAGCCTACATACATCCCTTATGACAATATCTAATGAACTTTTCACCATACTGTTGGATTAGGTGTCTAAGTCCATAACTATAATTGGTATATACTTGACCCGATAGTAGCATGGTCCATTTCGGGTTGCCTTCATCAAAACAATTTGATAGGATGGATATTCGAGAAAGAGGTTATTTGTGATTTATTAATATATTATAAGAATAATATATTAATTGAGAAATCATATTATTTAATTGGTATTGATCAAGAATTATTTTGGAATTAATTTAGTGATCAAAAGAGACTAATTAAATTAATAGGGCTGATTATGTAAATCAGTGAAACATATAATTTGGGATAATGATCTATGATCAACTAGTAATGGACTAAGTTCATATAAGAGTCCATGAAGTGTTATTGGATTAAAAGTATAAGTGTATGAATTAGGGTTAAGAAGTGACTCTTGGAATTCTACACTATAAATGTGTTCCGTTAGCTCCAAAATCGGCACTCATGCATTCCTAGAAGTGAGTAGCCGATTTTGGTGTCTCCAAAACCTCTCTCATATCCCTCTAGTTGTTTTTGGTGTTTGTAACTTGTTTGAGGCATCACACTTGGGGTGCTAAGCTCTTATAAGGCCAAATTCTACAAGCTAATATAAGAGGTAATCATCTAACTATGTTTTATGATTCAAATATCTAAGTTGTATGCTAGTTTAGGGTTCATGATTTGGAAAAAAATATTGCATGTATAATCAGAGAAAACTTAGATCCACAGTATTAGGGTTGTATGTGCACCATAGGGATGTTAGAGTACATAAAACCCAACACATACACACCCTCAAGAGAATCCCATAACCAAACCTGGATCTACTGTATTTCTTCTTCCTCACAACCCTACCCATAGGGTGTGGTACCAGTAGATCTAACTGAAATGACGAACCTCAACTGCTAACATAAACATTCTCGTGGATGGCCGAACTAAGATCCCACAATTGAAACTGAACATATCCTATCATCACGCAACTAGCTCGATAAAACTTCCAAAGAACCTCTGTTATTGGCAATAACAAATGACCAACGATCGAGAATGCATTGTCGACTAATCCAATGATCCAATATACTACGAAATGAAACCCTTGCAGAACTATACATACCAAACTCTAAAACTAATCGACCAAACAATAACTGTCCATCCTAGACTTTAGATAACAATGTATACAACAAGCTGACAAATCCATCAACAACTGATACTCAAACTGAGCGACCTAAACGCCTATTGACCAATTCATCAACACTCTGAAAGAAATCACTAGCTACAACAAGCTCCTTATCCAACAACTCCTTTCCGCGAAGATGACTCTTGCATTCCTAAACAGATGCATCTGATGGCAACTTGCTCTGCACCCCCGTCTTTACCATATCCTGAACCAAAGTTTTGCATACCCGAAACGCTAATCCCTTTGACCCATTTATTTGAACCCATAACTCATACAGGTCGATGATCCTCTAATAAGAATATTCAACTCTCCCCCACTAAGGGTTTGAACTACCACTAACTGACATTGCAAATAGACAAAAGTCCAAACCAACACATCCTAAACCCGCTAAACATCGCTCTTGGCATAAAAAATGGCATATGACAATCCCTTGAATAATAATAATTATAAAAAATCAATTTTAACGAGACTCTGATTCTTAGGTGGAGACTTAAGTAAACCGATCATAACGTCTCACACACACAATCATATGATCATAAACACGAACAATAGAAGAATGAAGGGTTCGAATACGATACATACCTGTGAGGTCTTGAGGTCCTGACTCCGCTTCTTGAAAAACCATGAATGATGGAGTCTGAGCTACTCCAATTGTCAAACGTGGTCAATTCGCCCTAATGTGACTAGGTTGATGACAATAATGACATAATCATACCTCCAGGGTGCAATGTTGGAGAACATGGACCTTCTATCCACACCTGTCACATTTGCAGTTACAACGCACAAGCTCAAGGGTATTCCTTCCTTAATGTGCATGACATGGTCCCTCTAGCCTCCAGTACTCAGGTTAGCAACATCGAA